CCAACAAACCTTCCAAGAGGCACAGCAGCAAAGCAGAATTGCAGATCAAAAGCTCTAAAAGCAGTGCTGGTTTTGTACTTGTGTTTTGCAGAATTAGCAGAGAACAAGAACCTCTGGAGTTTTCATGATGTTGCCAATACTCTAGCCCTGAACTACCACTTCTTGCACACCTGCACAAAGTCAGCATTTCCCAGAAATTTCAACATGAGTATCAAGTCCTTCATGCAGGAACATGACTGCCCCAGATGTCCCTGAGCAACATCAGCAGCATCCAAACTCTTCCACAGTAGCAGCATGCATTTTGAGCCTTCATTACAGGCTTGTACAAATAGTAAGTCAGGACAGCTCTAGTAATAATCATCATCCCCCTTTAGGCTCAATGTGCAAGTCCCAAGGTAGCAGACTGCTTGAAAACATTTCTCATCCCCCATTCTAGTACAAAACAGAAGACAACTACTGCTAACTTCAGACCTCCTGTCCACCACATTTTTATCCTATTCTTTCACCCTTCTTCCAACTAAAACTTATTACGAAAGATGGAGGAAAAGAATACAGGAACACTTACTCTATGCCCATTTTACTCAGCTTCCATTTCAGCATAGAAAATAGCCAGATCCACAAAACTAGGGCTGCATGTCAGCGAAGTCCTTCAACACACCACCTGTGGCATTAGGACTCATGGTCCTGTCCACTCAACCCTTCGAACCTCTCAAGTCAAGCACCTTACCCCATGTAATATAGTTCTCAGCAATTTAATTTGATCTAACTCTCAGAACTGGAACTGACAAAGCTGAAAAGCTGTAAGCAAGAGTTCAGTTAATAGTAGCAACCACCTCATTGCTTCCCACCCAGCCCCACCATTTGGAATTTACAAAGAAATCATGCGAAGAAAAACCTAAGCAACATTTCCTGCAGGTCTCAAGGTCAAGCATTCTCTACATGCACAGGTATTAACTAGTCCTCAATACTTCTCTCCACAAACCTTAAGGCATATATATGCTTTGTTTATGGCTATAGAGACACGATATATAGAGTCCACAAACCAAACAAGCTCATGTTTAGTCAAGAAATCAGCCACTACTATAGTCTGTGAAAAAGCGTAAATTACTAAATGCAAACACTGCTGTGCAATTCAACTTCCTAAACCCTTCCAGTCAAATTCTCCCAGGAAAGCGAAAAAAACCACAAAAAAACTACCCCCAATACTAGTATAAGTTTCAATTAAAACAAGTATCTTACCTGCTTCGAGGCCATACAACAGACCGGGACCTTGAGCGTGACCTGGACCTAGATCTAGGAAAAAGCAGCAACAGATCAACTACTGCTATATAATTCATATAGCTGAGATAATATTCTTTGATTTTTATGATACTAATCTCAGATAATTTTGCTGGAACTATTAGTTTTGCAAGAATAACTTTTATTATTAGAAAGATGTATTACATTTAACCAGTACTACCCAGAACACATAAATTCTACTGCCCTAGCTGATTAAGCACAGTTACTCCCTGTAGCTTTAAAAGTGAAGTATGAAAACTTAACCTTGGATCAAAGCTGTATCTTTAGTACAGCTGAAGTATAAAAGACCTCAGAAACAGCAATTCCAGAATTTTATGTTTCGTTTTTAACATCAAACAAAGCATTCAGCTAGCTCTCGGGAATGTTACACCATAAAGGCTCCTGCAAACACATGAACTGCAAAACAAGCTAAATGTTAACTCCAATAGCTACGTTCCCTTCAACAATGTTTTGGGCTTAATGAAGAACACAAACCTTGATCTCCTTAAAGAACCAGATCGAGATCTGCGGGGTGAAAATGACCTATACCTACGAGGAGAGATTGACCTGGACCTGCGGTAGGAAGCTGATCTCGATCTACAAAAGAAAGGGAAAACCAATTAGAATTACTGCAAGTGATTTTTCACAAGGAGCAGAGAAAGGAGTGGAGCAGAGGGAGGAGTAAGGAAAGGCATGTAAATACAACAGGCAGAAACCTACCTCCTACCACGACTCCGACTGCGTGAGCGAGAATACCTTCGTCCTCGGGACCGCGAACGGGATCTCGACCGGGACCTAGGTTTAGGTTAGAGAAAAGAGGTATGAGGACAAAGCTGCAGCAACCAATGCATGTGAGGCCCTGCTGAAGTCAAAACTTATTTCAGACAACTAAAAAGAAAACAAAAAAGAAACAAAAATATATTTAAAAAAAAAAACAACACAAAAAGAAAACCACACCACTAGCATCTGTCAGCTGGAAAAATCTCTGGGCCTACTCGTCTTGAGCATTTTACTACCTAGGAAAATGTTAAAAGCTGAATGACATTGCAGAATTACATTAGAATAGAAAACACTGTAATGCGTATTTAAAATAAACCTTGCAAGTTTGCAGGTCGACCCTCTTTGGCCCAAGGTCTAGCAGATCTAGACGATCTAGAAGTATCTATAGCCGATCGCTGCATCTAGGTGTTCTCTTCAATCTAACGACGATCAAACTGACAGCCCAATGAGCCAGGGTGAGGCTTGATTGACGCAAGAAGATTTTTCTAGGTGGGAATGTGGTCAATCTGGTGTTCCTCTTTCTAAACCGGAGGGGGGCCCCAATTGAAAGCCAAATTTACTGTTACGGCGATCACCGTCTCAATTTTTCTGCCCTTAAAGAATAAGGTGAAGCTACGTGTAGATGGCTCGAGGGGATCTGGCCTCTTATGCTGATCACCTCAAGGTCTAGGAGGATCTTAAGTGTCGGATTTGCAAGGCGCCTCAGCATGAAATCTTAAGGCTCGTGACATTCTGAATCAAGGCGACTGACTCAAACGAAGAAACCTGAAAGGTTTTGACCAGGTTGATTATTAAGATATTAACATTTTATATGTATTAGCAAAAAAAAAAAGTGATATACACCTGCTGACTTACAATATTAAGAGTTAAAGCTGGTGCAACATTGTGTTCTTGGCTAACAAGAGCTACACAACAGAGAACTGGCGAAGCAACCCAGCCACTCTGGCCCCACACGTACCTGCTCCTCCTTCGGCGACTATAGCGGTGACAATCATAAGCATAGTGGCCTTTCTCACCACACTCATAGCATCTGTCGTTTGGGTCAAAGGGGCGCCGGGCAGGAGGCCTGTCATAACGGGAGCGACGAGGCATCCCAGTTGACACTTCCACTCTAACTCTGGAGCCACATATTATCCTGAAAGACATAGTATGTATAAATCACAAGAATACTTGTCTCCCCTGTGCCTGCTACACACAGAACGGGTACTGATGATGGGTGCAGGCTAAAACTGCAGCCACAGCAGTCAAGGACATTTCAGGCATAAACATACTTTCCATCGAGGCCAAGCACAGCATCCTCAGCATCCCTCGGATCTTCAAACTCCACGAAGGCAAACCCCGGCGGGTTCCTCGCGATCCACACGGTTCTCAGGGGCCCGTAGTAGCTGAAGGCTCTCTCCAGCTCGCCCTTTCCAGCGCCGGTGCCCAGGTTCCCCACGTACACCTTGGTCTCTGCATGGATGGACGCCATGTCAGGCCCGCACGCCGCTCCGCAAGCCTGCGGTGCGCAGGCGCGGCCCAGGACACGAGGCCGCGCGCGGGCCGGCCGCTGCCGCCCCTCCCCCCTCCCCCGCCCCCCCCTTCGCCTTGAAGCGCCGCCATGTTTGACACCGCCTCCATTTTGGTGTGCTCCCGCCGCTCCGCTCCCTCCCTTCCACACCGCCCTCACCGGGGACCACTGCCCACCGAACCCGGGGCCACCGACCCACGGCTGCTCCAGGAGCCTCTCTCCTCGGCCCCCTCCGCTCTCGCAGCCGGCCGCCAGAAGCCAACGACCACCTTTTCCCATCCCTCAGCGGAGAGCGAGCGACGCCGCTCCCGCCATGGGCAGCCCCCGGCTCGCTTCACACTCCCCGTTCCCCCTTACCATAACGCCCATAGCGCGACATCTTCCCGGCTGCAGACTGAACCCTGCGCACGACCCTTATGCACACGGAGTCTCCGCTGCGACTGCGCGCCGCGCCCCGACCGCTCGGGGAGACTGCGGGGTGGGCTTTGGTCGCTTGGCAACGCGGGGCGGAGCAGTCCCGCTCCTGGCCGCGGGGAGATCTCGCGAGAAGAGCGGCGGGCGGGCGCGTTCAGGGCGGCAGGCGTGCTGAGTCTGAGGCGATGAACCTCACCAGGCTCTTCGCTCCCGGGCAAGGAGGTGCTACATTCTGCGTGACGGGGCGTTCACAAGCTGTTCTTAAAGCGGCTGAGCAGAGTTTGACCCGACACTAGCTCTCACACCGAATACAACCCAATGAGCCTTGCGTGCCCTGGAATTCAAGCACTGCCCAATCCCCTCATCCAGACAGGCGGCATAAGCATTTTTGTTGGCATCTACCAACCTTTGCAGGGAGACACACACAGCAGCATACGTGCAGATAACTATTTTTAAGAAAAAACAGCGTGAACCTGACCAATCTGAAGTGATTTTAAATAAGCCACAGCAGGAAGGAGCATGGCATTTTATTAACAAGGGTTAGGCAGGCTTCCAAAGTGCATTTGATCACATTTACATGTTTTGGTGTGATCTCAAGACAGAACAAAGCAATATAGGAAATAAATGAGGGCTGTACGTTAACAAGCTCAGGAATAATAACACAATGATTCTTGCACTGTGTGCTGCCAAAAGATAAAACCAAAGCAACAGGAAACAAACATTGAATTGCACGGAATTCTCTATGAAGCAAAGGTCTTCCAATCACTGCTGCTCTAAAACAGCGATAGATAGGAAATGTTTTAAAAACCTGCTCTTTGCCTGCTATCTTTCCCTAATAATTTAAAAAACTTGGACCTACATTATAATCCATGTTCCAAATTAGGAGAACAGTTGTGGGGAAAAAAAAACAACAAAAAACAGAACAATTTTTTCATCTGGTTCGGTGATTCCAAATTCAGATAAACATGTCTACACCACTGGATAATTAGATTAATTTTAAAGGCAGAAGAAAACACAGTTTAAATTTATCATATATCATCTTTCACAGTGCTGTTACAAAAATAGCTATTCAACTGATACATTATCTTATTCCTGATACAGTAAGCTTACATCATCAGTTTAATACATTATCATTACCCAACAGCTTGCTTTTAGTAAAAAACAGTTCAGGGAAAAAATGTTTCATGGTTTTAGTTTATACTGCTTGTTTTAACCCTTTCTTAACATACAAAAATCAGACAAAAGTATCTAAACCCAGCATTTTTGCAAATATTTATACCCCAGACAGTTCCTAAAATAGGCCAGGTACACTCATTCCTAAAGGCAACTGCTTTAAACAGCAGATATCATTGGTTTTTCTCAAGATAGCCCTGTATTAAGCCTTGAACTCGAGACAGAATAATCTCATTGGAGCTGCTGCACTCTTCTGGGCCATATGGTGGGTCAATAGTCAATACCCCTGCCACACATAGCGTCTTTCCCGATTCGCCTTGCTCTGTTATGGGGATGTGGTTTGTTTCTAGCCAAGTCTTCAAATTGTTCTTCCTCTTTTCAAGTTCCTCTGGGCTGTAGGCTTTGCTTTCCTCAGGTTCAAATATGCAAGAAAGCCGTTGCTTCATTTCATCGTCCCCTTCTTTCAGTATTTCTACCTCCTCGACAGCATGGCCCAAGACAACTGATATGGACACACTTTCATTCTCCGGGAATGTTGCAAGGACAATACTGGCAAGGAAAGAAGGATGCATGAGTCACTGTATTTAAATGAAGACTGAGAAAAAAGAGGCCAAGATTCTTGGAGATGAGTGCTCATTAGTGTCAGCATAACCCAGAATTTAGTCAGCATCGAGTACGCAGCATTCTTCTTGAAGAGCATGCTGCTATACCTTTAAAATAATGAAAATGTGTGGCTTTGCGCCTTCTGGCCTTGAATTTGAAACCACTCTAGACACGATCAAGCAGAACGTTACTTTCACAAAAAAAAAAGTGTACATTAAAAGCAGGGCTGGGAATCTAAATATTTTTGTGCAGCATTCCCAACCTTGCTGAAGAACCTTAAGTCTTCCAACATTCAAAACCAACACTTTGAATGCTGAAGGCAGTGGTGGTAGTTAACATCAGAACCTTTTAACGTCAAATTATTAATACCTCATTATTGATCATGACTTTTTTAGTTTTACATGAGTGTTGCTAATTTCTTAACTGAAAACTATAGCTTGCATACTAAAATGGGACAGCAGGTTCAGGCTCATGTTGTAGCAGCCTGCTCTTTTCCCAAGGACTTTTTCCAGAAGTCCTAAAATAGAGGTAGGAAAGCAGCTTGTTACATTTCCAGGATCTCTTCCCCATCTGTCAACACAGAGGATCAGAAAACCTTTTTCTGTCTTGTGGGAAGAAACACTCCTGAATTTGATGCCAGCACTTTGTCAATCTACTGTTGCCACCATCGGTGGAAGTAATGACTTTCTGGGAAACTTGTGATGAAATATGCCTTGATTTTAGCCTGAGCCATTCCCAGAATCACTCACAGCTGTGTGTACCTTTCCTCCTAAAATGATGGGCAACTCCAAGAGAAGATTAGAGTATTGGAGCTACTCCAGAGTTGAAGTAACAACCAGTTCTTCTGAAACATCAGAAGCTGGATGGTTTTGTTTCTATCCTCCATCTTGTGCTCAAGTGGGACAAGCACACAACCAAAAAGGTCTGAAAATGCTCTGGCAGCAAGGAGACAAATTTCTGCCCATTCTCTGGTGCGTCCTACTTCTCAAAAACCCTGTTTTCAAGTTACTCATTTGAAATACTAGAGACCTGTGGTACCACTTTCTGGCCAATGTCATGGCTGATTTTCCCTGCTTCCTCTCCAAAGCAGCCACTGCACTGTCATGGCTGTTTGGCTGCAGGAGAGAGCTGGGCATCAATGTGAGAACTCTGGACAGAGGATAAGGATTTGAACATCTAAAGCATTAAAAATATTCCTTTATTCCTGCTTTCTGGAAGGAGGGCTTAGTATATTATTAAAAGTGATCCTGAACACATGGATATCATTTAAAGTACTAACCTCAGGCCCACAATAAAGTTAGCATGAATTCAGATTATCCATTCCCCAAACTCTTCAGTCCTTTGAATGAGATTACAGTGGTTTTAGGTAAACTGGCCTCATCAACTGCAATGTTGCTTTCTTTTAGGTCTTGACAATCAAAACAAAAAACAAAACCAAACCAAACCAACCAAAAACCAGAATACACAACCCAAACGTGCATTTTTTTTTCTCCAAATAAATTTGCTTCAGTCTTGGAATCTTTTCCTGAAAAACTAATCTTCCCTTAGCTTTACGGAAACAAAAGCTTTGGTACTTACCTAGCAGAAACTGGATCAACTGTTAAGACCCATCCTTCATATTCATGTTTCTCAACTACAGCAACTTTCACCAGTTTGTTCAAATATGTTTCCCACTCTAGAGGGCTTTTCTTCTGCCACTCATTCATATTTCCTGCATCCAGAACCTAGAAAATAGAGCAATTAGCAGAAGCAATGAATCCTTTTGCTTTGCCTTTCACATGAGAAGCAAATTTGCATCATGGTACGAATCTTCCATTTGTCTTAAGCCTAATTTGCTTTATTTTAAAAGCCAACATTCACACAAGTGGTTTGCATATTGCTGCAGTTCTGCAATTTCCCACCCAGTTCACCCATTTTTAAAGGCACAAATATTGACAAAAATTATTGCTCTGCTGATATAACACTGTCCCGTGGCATTAAATATTACATGTATTATTCTGCCCCCTTACAAAACCTCGGTTTTCCTGATCCTTAAGGGCAGAATTTTACTCCCCTTACTCTGTGTACTGGCACATCCCTGGTGTCTATGCCCTTCCATTGCCTGCTATCCACCCGGATCCTGGCTCTATCCTCAACCCCTACAGTACAGCAAGTGCTCTTCCACTCTCTTCTCCGTACCAGCTGCACTACTAGCAATCAGAGCAGAGCCACCCTTGTTGCAGCGTGGTGTCGCACAACCGTTTGTCTCCATCCCCGTATCCCACCGGATGTGGGCTGGGGAGAGATGGAGGGCGGACAAAGGGCAGGAGGAAGCGCCCTGCTTTGTTCCCCCAAGGGTCCTCAAAGCCTGAAGCGGGACGGGTAGGGCAGGCAGCGAGCTGGGCACGGCAGGAGAGCCACCCAGTGCCACAGGGCAAGAGAGGGGAGAATCCCCGGCCCTGCAGCCCGGATTCCCGCTCACCGACTCGATTCCCGCGTCTGCCGACGGTGCCCGGGAGCTGGGCCTGCCGCTTCCTGCTGCCGCTCAGCGCCCTCCCCCGACACAGTTTGAGTATTTTGGGTTATTTTAAGCACGGAATTGGAGGCTTCCGAGGCAGGAAAATGCTCAGAGATGCGGTGTTTTAAAAATAAGGGTGTGCATATAAATTATACATAGGTTTATATACATAAGAGGCCAGATTGCGAAACAAGGAGGTGGGGCATGCACCTACCCCGTGTGCTGCCTTCCGCCTAGCTAGAATTCGGCCGGGTTTGGCAATCCTGCTGCTAGAGCTGAGATCACTCACTCCAGCATGCAAAACCACTGCCTCTTCAGGAAATCTGGGTACTTAAATAGGTATAGGTGCGTGCTGTGTGGATCCACTCCATAAAAATATATCTGCTCCCTGGTTTACAGTTGTCTTCACAAGCACTCCTGTGTAGCCATGAAGGTGAGAAACTTGTTTTCCCATCCCAAAACCTCTCTCTTAACAACGAAAAGCTGGAAAAGCTTCCTATGGATGAAGCAAACCAGCTGCCATTGTTTCAGTAATTTTAAGTGTAACCGAGCATGTGATGGTTTTGAGAGCGTAACAAAAAAAAAATCAAGGATATAAAACAAGTCTCATGTTGCAAGCTTGAGGAGGTTAATTTCCTTTTCTAAAAAAGTTTCAATTGAACTTCCACAGTGCTACAGTGATTATTTAGGAATGGTCTATGCCTCTGTATTCGGCTACTGTTTTCTTTCAGAGTTATGATTTATTACAAAAGCAGGGATGAACAAATCTGACTGTTTTCATTATAAAAGCAAGCAACACAATGGGGATTCAAAGCTCCTGTTTGAAAGAAAAGCAGTGGAAAGACGGAGTATGGTTTGGGTTTTATATATTTGTAAGCATAGCACATTTTAGGTTTACTTCCTAACCAGTCCCCTTCTGGATCATGGAATGGAGGGCAGTAGTCCCTTCTGATCAAAATACTCCAAACATACTCGGTTTTAATTTTTGCTGGTCTTAGTCCATACTGATTTTTTTCTTTTTCTATTGTAGTTAATTGTTCTGACTACAAAGCCCCTATTTTTTTTATCCTGTCATCTAAGCTGTATTTACAGACAAAGGTCACTATCGTGAGCAGTTACTACAGCTTTTACACCGTAAATTTAACCTTAAGTCACAGTCAAAAAGCGGCGCAACTCTCATAACTCCAATAGCTGTACTAGTAGTGGAAGCTGTGGCACAGATGAAGTTGTAAATGCACAATTCGTGAGACCAAAGAACTCCGCCGGTATTACTGCACCGCTTCCCCAGTCCTACAGCGCCCTTTTGGGAGGACCGGCAAAGCCCGAACCGCTTCCCTCCGCCCCGGGGAAACGGTGCTTGTCAGGCACTACTGGGCCTTCGCTCCTCCTCCCGCCGCGGTCCCGTTCGCTCACCGCGAGGACCCACCGGTGACCGGGCGGCTCCCCGAGACCGTGGTAGGCACAGAAGCCCGCTCCGCCGGCTCAGGCGCTCTCCCTCAGCCGCTATAGGCCGCACGTCGCCGTGGCAACAACGCCCCGCTAAAGCCCGTCCTACGGCCGGTGCGGACCACGGCCCACGCGCATGCGCATCGCCTGGCGCCGCGCACTCCCGCGCCGCCTGAGGGAGGAGGCAGAGGAGGGCAGGGAGCAGGCGCGTGCGGCGGCGCGTGCGCGCGGAGGGGTGGCTGAGCGGAGCCGTTAGGATGTCGCGTTACGGCCGCTATGGAGGCGGTGAGTGCTCTGCGGTGCGGTGAGGGGCGGGGGGCTGCGGCGAGGGCAGGCTGGGGGAGCTTTCGGAAGGGGCAGTCGCCGTGGGGGGCCGGGTGGAGCGGCCAGTGGCGGGGAAAGAAATCGAGGCGGCTGTCGCTGTCGCCGCCGCCATTTTGCGTCAGCGGCTGGGGGGGGGAGGGGGGGGGGAAGGGGAAGGGGGTTGCGCGCGCGTGCCGCCGCTCGTGAAGGCGGTAGCGGGCCCCGCACACAAGATGGCGGCGCCAGGGGTGAGGCGGAGCGGAGGCGCCGCTTCCTTGGGAGCGCGCTCCTGCACCATCGCTGACAGCGGCCTTGCTCCCGGCAGAGACCAAGGTGTACGTGGGGAACCTGGGCACGGGCGCTGGAAAGGGCGAGCTGGAGAGAGCCTTCAGCTACTACGGGCCCCTGAGAACCGTGTGGATTGCGAGGAACCCGCCGGGGTTTGCCTTCGTGGAGTTTGAAGATCCGAGGGATGCTGAGGATGCTGTCCGTGGACTTGATGGAAAGTACGTATGTATATGTTTTCAGAAGCTACAGCCGGTTTTAAGACCAGGGTTTGTTTTTCTCCTTTTTGTAGTTCTGCAATAAACAGTGACAATTAACTTAGGGGCATTATGAACCTGTTGCAGGGTGATTTGTGGCTCCAGAGTTAGAGTGGAAGTGTCAACTGGGATGCCTCGTCGCTCCCGTTATGACAGGCCTCCTGCCCGGCGCCCCTTTGACCCAAACGACAGATGCTATGAGTGTGGTGAGAAAGGCCACTATGCTTATGATTGTCACCGCTATAGTCGCCGAAGGAGGAGCAGGTACGTGTGGGGCCAGAGTGGCTGGGTTGCTTCGCCAGTTCTCTGTTGTGTAGCTCTTGTTAGCCAAGAACACAATGTTGCACCAGTTTTCTTTAAACTTTAACGCTAGAATAATTGTATAGGTGTATATTACAATTTGTTGCTATTTCTATCAAATGTTAATATCTTAATAATCAACCTGGTCAAAACCTTTCAGGTTTCTTCGTTTGAGTCAGTCGCCTTGATTCAGAATGTCACGAGCCTTAAGATTTCATGCTGAGGCGCCTTGCAAATCCGACACTTAAGATCCTCCTAGACCTTGAGGTGATCAGCATAAGAGGCCAGATCCCCTCGAGCCATCTACACGTAGCTTCACCTTATTCTTTAAGGGCAGAAAAATTGAGACGGTGATCGCCGTAACAGTAAATTTGGCTTTCAATTGGGGCCCCCCTCCGGTTTAGAAAGAGGAACACCAGATTGACCACATTCCCACCTAGAAAAATCTTCTTGCGTCAATCAAGCCTCACCCTGGCTCATTGGGCTGTCAGTTTGATCGTCGTTAGATTGAAGAGAACACCTAGATGCAGCGATCGGCTATAGATACTTCTAGATCGTCTAGATCTGCTAGACCTTGGGCCAAAGAGGGTCGACCTGCAAACTTGCAAGGTTTATTTTAAATACGCATTACAGTGTTTTCTATTCTAATGTAATTCTGCAATGTCATTCAGCTTTTAACATTTTCCTAGGTAGTAAAATGCTCAAGACGAGTAGGCCCAGAGATTTTTCCAACTGACAGATGCTAGTTCTTTAGTTGTCTGAAATAAGTTTTGACTTCAGCAGGGCCTCACATGTATTGGTTGCTGCAGCTTTGTCCTCATACCTTTTTTCTCTAACCTAAACCCAGGTCCCGGTCGAGATCCCGTTCGCGGTCCCGAGGACGAAGGTATTCTCGCTCACGCAGTCGGAGTCGTGGTAGGAGGTGTGTTTGTCTCTTATTCCTGTTTGCTTCTTCTGCTTAAAAAGAGCTACACTTGTGCAACTCTTTTTTCATCAACTTCTTTGCAGGTCCAGGTCAGCTTCCTATCGTAGATCCCGCTCCGTTTCTCCTCGTAGGTCTAGGTCTGTGTCTCCCCGCCGGTCCCGATCGGCATCCTTGAAGAGATCAAGGTAATTGGTGTTAATTTTTAATAGCCTGTGTGCGTTGTTTTTGTTGGTTTTTTTTGCTTTATTTAGAGGATTCAAGGAGGTGTTGGAGAGCAGACTGCAAAAGGTGTTGACCTCTAGAAATCTGACTTTAGCACACTTTATTTATAAAGTCTCTGATATAATCCTAGTTGAATTTACAGGTGTGGTTGTATGATGAATTTTGAGCACTTACCCAACTGCATATCCCATGATGAATTTTGATGTCTAAGCCATCTAATGATCATGTAGATAGAGTTGACTTTGATTTTATTTCACCTTGTGTTTATTTTTTATTACAGGTCTAGATCAAGATCTAGATCTAGATCCAGATCTGTTACATGGCCCCGAAGCAGGTAAGATCTCTTCTATGACTGCAAGTGCTTAGTAAAAGTTGCTGGAAAGTCTGTTTAGGCTTTCTAAGAGCTGTTCAGATTTTCGGAAAAAGCTTTGTTTAAACCCCATTAACATCGGGGTCTGTAGTTCTAAAAAGCAGTGCAGAAGGTGGTTGTTCTTGTTTTATGTATTACTGATATCCAGGTCCCAGTAGTCATCATGGAACCATTTTCATTAGGTTGTATTAACAGCTAACATAGCAAACAAATTTAGAATTAATCAGAAAAGGTTTTTCCTTTTTCTTTGTATAGCACAGAAGAGATTGTGCATTCTTCCCTTTATTTGTCAGAGGGATAGGGATGCCCTTCTGGTAGCATATTAAAGCACTAATGCCTATAGCCAGGCAAGTCACAAAGGGCTTGTTAGTACTGAGCATTATAGCTGCTTCCAGCTCTGTTGACAAGTGTCAGCCTGCAGGAGCTGAATTAAATTGGAGATAAACACTTGTCAGAATTATTTTGTACCAATAAATGTGCCATAAGATGAAATTTCAAAGGCACACAGGATGTCATTCATTCTCTCAAGTTGTAGCTTAATCCTTCCATAGTAAACGAATGCAGTGTCTGCTTTATGCAGTTTTGTCCAGGCAGTGTGGCTGATAGAGGTTGATGAGATGTCCTGGGCAAGATGTCATAGGAGAACAAGAGTAAATTGAGGTTCTGCTCTGAAGGAGATGGTACTGCTCTTGCCACAGCCCATTCCCAGACTTACTGTTCTGGTTTGATGGCTGCTGTTTGAAATAAACAACGTAACCATAACAACCAAACACAGGAAAATAAAAGGGAAGTTTTAGCTGAGGGGAGTAAGTGGAAAAGGCCATAGCTGAAGATGGGAGATTCAGTGCTCAAAGGTGGTGGTATTTTCTGAGAGTGGAACAGCAAGCAGTAGCAGGAGTTTTTAGGCAATGGACAGATGAAGACGAGAAGACGGCTGCATTAAGAGCAGACATTCTTACAAACAGTTCAGAAGCTAATAAGAAGGGAAATTCCCTGAGGCAGTAGAGCAATGCCTTTCACTGATCAGGTACACTTTCTCCACCTGTCAATAAAATATGTCGCATCTTAATACCAGGTCTTACACATTTAGTGTGAATCTTCCTGTCTCAAATATGGGAACATGCGTGCTACCAGCTTCCCTGCTGAGCCATGGTTTTTCTTTCTGTAGGTCTAGGTCCCATGGGAGATCAAAATCTGGCTCGCCAGCTAAGAGGTAAGCATACAGTGATAAACCTGTAGTAGTAGCTAGTATTCAGTAGTAGGTTTGAATGGCTAACAGAGCCTAGTCCTTTACAAAAATATCTCCCCAAATGTGTGCCCAGCTAATCTGGTGGTGGTGTGACTGAGATAGAAGTTCCTCTGCAGCTGTTTGGAATATGTTCCTTGTCTGTCTCTTTGGTTTCATTACCTGTTTGTAGTTTCCAGCATAGTAATTTTGTATGTGTCTGTGCTCAGCTGTGTTAAATTTTTCTATCCACCAGGAAAAGGGCTTTAGCTTTATGAAGGCTGTTGATAAAACAGCAGGAGTCTGTGATAATGTTTCTCAAAGCCTTGCCTCTATTACCATTTGTTTGCCTGTTCAGTCTACTGAAGATGGTGGCTTAAAATAAGGCTCCATGCTAAATACCCTGTCACAGTAAAACTTGATTTGAAAACTTAAATATTTTAAAGAGCTTCTGGCCAGACTCCTGTAGTGATTCCATTGCTGTTTAAGATGCTTATTTATTAGGTTTTTAATATAAAAGTTGAATTTGACCTTTAAGCTGCATTGATGATATTCTGTTTTGACAGTCGGTCAAAGTCCCGATCACCATCTCCAAAGAGAAGGTACGTTCATCTCCCTACTAATAATGTAGACTACATAGT